AAAAAAAAAAAAAAACTGAAAACAGCCGATGTGAGCCACTTTGAGTTACAGTGCATTCTGCAGTGTATTATGCAACACTTGCTTTTATTTCAGGATTTTGCCAGCCATACATCACAAAGTGGTTCTCTCAGTGAGGATGTGCAAAAGTCACCTATGCCGACAGAATCGCGAGGTATGATTGCCTTTTGCAAACTTGGAAACATAACATGACTATTTAAGTGCTTACTACAGACACTAGGTTGGAGGGGAAATGTTGGTGTACCAGTCTGATTTTTTTCGTTATTTGATTATTCTGCGAAACGTGAGCAGAAATTTTTAGCAGCTAACATTTCCTGCTTCAGCGGTTCCCTCTCCGGTGGCCGCTTTCTACAAAATTTATCACTGGTGCCATGTATACAAGAAGTTCTGGAAGTGAATGCCATGACCAAGTTAAAAATTCCGGGAGATTTTAAAATCTATACAGCTAGCTGAAGGCAAAAGCGCCCATATAATGATGGAATTACCTTATCACGAATAAACGTAAGTGTTACACTATTGGATGACAGCACTTATCCATTGTCTGAAAAACCAAATCCACATAATAAACGGAAAGTTTGTTAAAAAAAGAAATATACCGCAGAAGCATCTAGCACCATGGGCCACTAGAATAAGCCAGGAATTATGCTGGAATCGATAGAAGTATAATGATTAATGCAAAAGGAAAAAGAGAAGCAATATTTGCTGGAAAGCACAGAATTTGAATAGAATCTCCCTTTCTCATCCATCATAAATAAAAAGCGACAAAAAAAGTGTGCTCGATCTGACCATTTACACTCTGTTTATTTTTTGATCAATTTCAGGATCAATTACGCAAATTGCGACTGATAGAAAACAGAGTACTACAAGTGCGGGCAGTGCGGAGCAGTGGAGAAAAAGTGTAACAAGTGAACAAGATAATTTCGCACCTTTTGACCGAGAACATCGAGCACCGGAAGCCGTCAAGTACCCAGGTAATCCTGAATTCCGATGACTATCAGCTTACAAGATTCATTGGCAGTACTACTACTTTTGCTACAGCTTCTGTAAAATTTAGGCTGCTACTGTAGTAATGACTGCTTATTTAATTTGTGAGGTTGTTCAGTTGTATTTACTTGAAGCATTGACTAGAAACTACAAGAAGCAGATAATAACCGCAGTATTTTTTATTGTGTTAGGTCTGTATGGCTCAAAGAATTTCACTTTATCTGCTGCGATTGAATGATTTTTTTATCAGTTATGTTATGCTCCTATTCTGCACCATCCATTAGCACGTTTAAGTGGAGAAAAAAAACGCTTTATCCTCTCTTATTTTAGATTCCGAGCCTGTATTCCAGCATCATCCTGAATACAACCAGTACTCCTATGATTTTAATCAGGCGCAACAATACACTTATCAGGCGCAAGCTGAGAATTATGGATACGGTAGCAGAGACTATCAAGCTTACGGTCAACAGGAACATGAAACAGTACCCACAAGTTACCAAGATTATAGTCAGCCTGCGTACACCACCAGTTATCAGGGCTATAATCAACAAACAGACTATGGTCATGGAGTGAACGTCGCCTCGGATAGCGCTGGGCAACAAGGATCAGCTCAGACCTACGGTGAGCAGCCAGGAACAGTATTCGTCCCCAATATGTCACAGTATGGCCAAGCAAATAACTACGACCAGGCTGCCGCCGGTTACAGTGCCTATCAACCCCAGTATACGCCATCAGCGAGCGACCAGTATTACGCAAGTCAGTCGGTCACAGAGCCGTATACAGGTATAGCATACAAAATTTCCAATTATGGATACAAAAAATAGTGGTGCGCAGTACTTTGGTTAACTCAAATTGAGTCCCTGGCTTGGCTCAAACGTATGAATGCGTGAAAGTCTCGTGGAAAAAATCGCTAATTCGGGAACCGGAACAGCTAGATCATTTTTACCGGTCACCGGAAATTATTTTCTTTCACGTAAACTTTGGGATTACACAGCGCCGTTTCTTGAACTGTGCAGCTGGAACATTTCCAGTGCTTTGATCAGTGCTATATCGCCTGGTGGTGATCATGGCATTTGTTATTTCCCCTATAGAGATTATTATCACAACGACTTCCTCTTCTGCAAAAGCACTTTGGCAAAGTTTAAAAAAAAAGATAGTGTACAATAAACTATAAATAGCGGGAGTAAAAATATTCTGAAAAGCTGGCGCATAATATTTCATAATTCATTCCATTTTTCGCCCAAAATTTACCCAGAATTCTCTTCTGAAATTGCAGCTGGTGCGATAATAGCTAGGGCAAAAGAATTTTTTTTTTTTTTGTAATTTTGCTGGATATTGGAGTTACGGTTACAGAAGGAAGTTTCAATTACGGGAATCAAACATATCAGCAAGATACTACAACCCATGCAAGTATAGCTGGAAGTGCCAGCGATGATTATCGTCCGGTTGCTGCACCGCAATTCATTGCACCTCTATTTCCAACTGTTGTTGGGTTAGTTGACTGTAATAATTTATTGCTAACATATTTTGGCATCTCGCTTGTTCGCTTTATCAGCCCTGTAGATTTAAATATGCTCACTGATCTCTTTATCTAATGCTAGAATTTCTAATGTAGATTTCGAGCACTTCCAGTTCCAGCTTTTCTGGTTGTTGAGTTGAAAGCGAGTGACAAAATTCGAACATACATACACCGACAACTTCTTGTCGGCACTTGTTTTTGCGTTTCCATAAAAGAGAGAAAACGTGTAGCATGGATAAGAATACAGTGGAATCTAACTTCAGCTGTTCTATTTTAAAAGTATGTTAACCTTTTGAGGCCGTCCGAGCCTGATCCGTTTTCATGGGAATCGCAGGAGGTAGCAGCAGGAAGCTATGCGCCACAGCAGTCTGTTGCTGCAGAAGTACCAGCCAGTAAAAACGATTATGAAAGGTTGGATTTTTTAAGCTCTAAAGTCTTCAGGCACTCTGCACATTCAGCAAAGTCTTGGGAGGTTATACATTGCTTTTTCGTATTTTCAAACTGTAGACTTATATTGGTGTCCGAATAATTTCAAAAATACCTGAGTTTAGATAGCTTTTAAAAAAATTTCTGGATTTTTTCCAGGGAGGTTCGCTTGTCGGAATATCATTAACCACTGGTTCTTTTTTTGGCCCACTCTGTTGATGAGCTTTGATGCTGTATGGATTAATGCCCGATCTTTGCGCAGTATTGGGTCTGTGTAATAGAACTTTATTTGAATAAAAGTTCGGACAGAAAATTCGCGGAGGGATGACTGCATCGGGGGAAATAATCGTATTTGCCTATTTTACTGAATTCGTCTTAAGCCAATCTATGATCAGTAATTTTCTAACGGTGCCGAAATATGCATGCAATGGTTTTTCTTTTTCCTCAAACATAAAAAAGCATGGATGCTTAAGATATACTTTATCCATTCTTGGATATACTTTATCCAGTTTTTCTGAAAAAATTATAAGAAAGTCGTAAACTTCATGAAATCTCATTGTTGCACATCATTTCAGTGAAGCAGCACCTGAGAGCCACAGTGTTGCTCAAAGACCCCAACAGCCTTCGCGGAAACGTAAGATTTTAATTCAAAAATCAGGTAATTTGCGAATCTGGGTGAGTAATTTACGCCAAGAATCCGCCACTTTATTTATAAAATCTTTCGTCCAAAAATTTTTACTTGAGTACTTGTATAGTTATTTTATTCGGTACTTTTCAAGTACTTTTTTAGTTCCTCCGCATTCGCGCATTCACCAAAGTTTTTCTTGAACTAAGTACCTTTAAATAAAATAACCCAATTATAGCTCCGCCTCGGCCATTGCCGCCAACACCATCTTCTTCTCACCACGTTGCTCCACCAGCGCGACCACCAGCACCACCTTCGCCACAACCGGTGCGTGCTGCTGGGCCATCAATTCAACAGCAGCCTGAAGTGATGGCGGCGCAAACGGAAGAAGATGCCTGGACGCAGTTCAAAAGATTAACAGAGAAGGCGTCAATAGCCGTAAAATCGACTGAAGAAAAGCTGAAGGAATTGAGCGAAACGACCGCTGCTAAAGATATCAAGGATGAAAGCTATCTCGCGCAAATAGGGTTTGGAATTTTGCAAATTCGTAGATTTTTAAGAATGTTTAGAAGCAAAAGCGCTTTTGAACTTTATCTATCTGTGAAAATGTTGTGTCTTGACGAACCCAGTAGACCGAAAACAGGAAATAATCTTTGTCGCATAAGTTTACAGCATCAAAAAATTATTTCTGATCTCCTTGCATGTGTAAAGCAGAAGCGATTTTAGCGGCTCGCAAGCTTACGTACCCGAAGAAGCTTTCAAGCAAGTGCGTGAACAGCAGCCCGTGATTTCGTTAGGAAAAACTAAAAAGAAAGAAAAACCAACAAAACCAAAGAAAGTTCTGGAACCCGAATTAACAGCAGCACAGGAAGATGATATGGACAGGGCCGCTATGGAGCTGGCCATGAAAATGGCCTCAACAAGGATTGATTTACAGGTGACTATGCGCACATAGTATTCCTCTGTATTTTGTCATACTGATTATTTCTGTGAATTACGCCATAAAATTTCCTGTCAAAGAATTTTTTTTTAACTATGCAAAAGCAAAACAATATTTGCAGGACTGGAAGCCCCCGTCTGCGAAGCAAGATAATGTGCTTTCCCAGCCGCAGCTATCCGGAGCATCCACTGAAGCGTGAGCCACTTTCGTAAAATTTCATTAATTTTGTGCAAACAGAAAATTATCCCTTCCCTTAAGCAACTGAGTAGCTCCCAATTAGGCTACTTTCTCATGGAGAGCAAGTATGAAGTGACTTTTGACTTTTTACATTTCGAAAAAATTAAATTAGTAGTTTAATTTAGCATAGACAAGTGTGTTTCTGACTCGTAATAGCTACCGAAATAAAACGCATCTCTTTTTTAGAACTACTGAACTCAGTGCCATCTTCGCCTGGATAAGACTTATTTTTCGCCGTAACAGGAGAAGTGAGGGAGAGGAACAAGAGAAAAAGGGGGATTCGAAGGTGTATATCAGTGAACGCCAAATCTTTCAAAATTTACGTGGGAAAAATAGCAACTGATGATTTATCTTCAGAATGTTGAAGTGCTTTGATGCCGGCCTTAAAATTGTCCAAGAAAACTTTTATTTCCCTTTCTTCTGCAATTGCTAGTTGGCTGTCGCATTGGGCTTTCCTGATCGTGGTCTAGAATTTGGCAGCGTTCAAAACGAGATGACGATCCACACATAAATAAATACATACACACATGCATGTATACACACACTTCTTGTGACCACTAAAGCTTTGCCAAGTACTTCTGCCGGGGGACGGATGAGAGAAGGGTGGAACGGAGAAAGCCCGGGGTAGGGGGAGAATTTGTTCAAGAAATGAAATGGACGTCAAAAATGACCAGAAGTAGGCAGACTGCCAGGGGATACAGAATCGGCCAAAAGCCGACAATCAGGCGATGTAGCATTGGTCAAATAGAACTATCAATTGCACAGTTGAAGAAAGATGCTAGGTATTTGCAAATATTAAAGTGTATTCTAAATTTCATTAGCACCAGAAACAAGCATATGCCTTTAAAGCAAGGCTTCACTCAATTTTTTGGCTGTACTTTTAGCGAACTGCCTCAAATGACGGAAGCAAGTTCTGAAAGCAGTGATTCGGCAACAGTGAAGCAAGCAAGCTCGGCAACAGCAGTTAGGTACTGGATTTTAATTTGAATTTCATGATGGGTGCGCTTTGTATTAATTAACCATGCTGTAGTGCGCATTAATACTCTATAGTGTTTGTAACAAACGAAATGCATTCCAGGAAATGATTTTCCTGATGTTTTCAACCATTTTTTGAAATTCATGACTGCTTCCTCTTTTTTGCGGTGGGAGCCAGCGTCATTCACTTGGTCATCGCTATTGCCAGTTTTTTCATCCATTTACTTAAAATCGTTTTTCGGACATTATGGCATGTCATAGCACGGTCAGCTGTTAGGAGATACGCAAATTAATGTAAATTTGGTCAATGATGGATCCATAATTTTGCACAGGGATAAGCATGGAAAACAGAAGGAAAATCAGAAAGAGAGGGTCAAGCGGGAAAAATGTATATGGCAGTTAAAAAAAATTTCTCATTTGGAAAATCTAGGAAATGCGAACTCCGTAGCATGATGCTTGGATGTGCCGCACACGTCTCATTCCTGTTTACCGTACTATTCCGAAGCCATTGCTGCATCCAGCAGCACTGCCTGCATCAAATTGAGAAAGTACACTGAAACGATCGCTTCAAGTAATAAATGCGTCTGAAAATCATTTATTTCCTTTAAAAAATTGTTTTGTTTTGCAGCCATGAGCCTGGAGGCCCAACAAATTGGGCTGCTTTTGATGAGTCACAACCTCCAGAGCTACCGCCTTCCGAATCAGGCTTCTTCACCAAAGTTTCTGCTGCTGCTACGGAAGCACTGAGTGCGGATGCATTCGGTGACCAGATCGCTCCATCAAGCAAGTTAGATGCATTCACTCCGATCAGCGAAAATCTGATAAGTGAGGTTAGCTTTCTGAGTTGAAATTATTATCAGCGAAGAGATCGGCATGCTTTCTTTTTTGTTACGACATTAAGGTGTGGAAAAACCATTCTTCTCAAAAAATCTGCGTTCCTCATCTAAACACTCTTTTTACTTCAGCTACAGGCCGCAGAGGTTGATTTCAGAGTTACGATCCGTTCGATGTTCGCCCAGCAGATGACCTCGTTGAAGCGGCAAAAACACGTGCGGCTGCAGTAATAGCTGCGGAAGAAACCCAGGATGATTTGAGCTTCTTTAGCGCCAAAGTGGACGAAAGGAAAAGTGATGTTAGCACACCAACTCAAGAAGGTGGAAGTCCGGCCAGTTCTCGACCGCCTGGGTTTGAAGATGAGTTCCGTGCTGATGTTAGTTTTGTAGAACTTCCTCGATTGTTACTTTGCTGTAAAAAGTCCGCATGGGTTGCATGTCGATCCTCCGGGAAGCTTTTTTGTTATTGTTATGCAGCTGCTTGCTGCAAGTTTTTCTTTGGAGGGGAGGGGCGGGAGAAAACGCGAATATGGTAGGAGAGGGCACGATTTTTCGAAAAACTTTAGTAGATGATCGCCGAGTGCGTTTATGAAGGACGGGGAGAGGAAATAGGCTTCTTAATTCATCTAAGCCAACATATGCAAATTACATGAGTAGCACTGATCACTGGCGGATCCATCCTCCCTTCAGCGGCACAGGTTGCAGCGCTAAAAGTGAAAAAAATTGTCTTCGACATCTCTTATCGCTCCCACCGCCTCCGGCCTCCTTGGCTGTTGCCGCTACTAGCGATGAGCGGCGGGGGCGGTGGAGGGGGGGAGGGGGGAAATAGCGGGGCGACCGGAGGAGAGTGGGGCCTTTGATGTAGTGACGATTGGGGGTGGGGGGAAAGGGCGGGGCGGAGAGGGGTAGAAAAATCGCTCCTCCCCAGGAAACCATCCTCGACCCGCCTATGGCACTGACAGCATCTTTTTTTAGAACAATCAAATCACTCTTCAAGACCGCACACTTAAGAGTCATCTCGTAACTGACGGTAGTTCTAGCTACTACTCTTAACTTATACCATAAAGCACTGCGCCGTGAATGCTTTGCTTTCCTGCGTTCCGATAACAACACACGTTGGGTATTTGTGGCTCCTTGTTCAGTTTTTGAGTATGAGAAATCCTAGTGCTAGTGTAGCTGCTAGTGTAGCTGTTAGTGCTAGTGTAGGTAAAAACAGGCTATATTTCTGTTGTCTCAACATTAATGCTAAAATTCTTAGGCTGATGCGTTAAGTACACCAAGTCCACTATACGACGAAGACGACAGCGAGCCACTCACCGATTTTCCGGAGAAATTCACTGGCGATGGCTGGGAAATGATGGTCCGGTATCCGATTAAGAAAAAAATTATGGGCGACCGCTACTGGAAGCCATGCTATGTTCGGCTACGCGAGAATACACTGTTGTTATTCAATTCGAAAACCGAACAAAAGCCATTCATGGAAATTTTACTGCAGGTTTTTTTTTGGCTCAGTACTGACAAGTATTTGCGTGCAACAATCAGTCGCATCAAAAACAGTCGCTTGATTTGGTTGCAAGCACCATCATCTAGTAGAATGAGGATTTTCCAGGACCGAAATACCGGGAGACTACAGAACTTTTTCTGACCATTGTTGAGAGTAGCGCTTGAAACCGAGTAAAATGCTGTCCAGCTATATCGACACAATTCACAATGGTCATTTGCAGGCAACCTACTCTCTATCCGATCCCACTTTGCAAGCTTATGATGTGTATGGTAAAATTCACACTGTAAAACTTCAGTATGTTATATACAAGGAGCGAGTTGGAATTCGACCGGGTTAGTGGATTTTCTATCTACTCGGAATTGACTTCACTCGAACTTGTGCCGTATTTTTACCGTATTTCAACAAAACTGAATCCTGGAGGCAAAAACATCATTCGCTGCTTACTGTATTGATAAAAATCGCTTGATTCAGGACTAAGAGC